CCTTTGAGACAGTGCCTTAAAAAAAATATAAGCATTAAAGTGCTATAAAAACAAGAACATTACTCTGGATTCAAAGTTGGAGAGAGAACGCAATGACAAAATAAACTCGCAGCCGTCACAGAGTATATAAATCCAGCTCTAGCCACTACTGTGTTGTAATTACATAAAATGTCTTCACCTGGAGGGAAAAGAGATATTACAAAAACTAAAACACTACCTGCACTTTTCAGCTCACACTTTCCTCAGGGTGTTGGATAAGTCACAGGTGATTTGCACTGAAACTCTGATATGATTGCACTTCATTTTGTTCAGTTTTTTTTCAAGACTCAGGTCATATCACCTGTTAAACTAGTGTTAGCCGTGTGAAAGAGAGGATGGAAATGAATGAAGGAATGCTAGCTGAGCCTGGAAAGATGTGATGAATCAAATGTCATTTAATCCTGAGACAACATTAGCCCTCTGCTGTGTGTGTGTGTGTTTGTGTGTGTGTGTGTGTGTGTGTGTTGATTCGTGGTGCCAAATGAGGCAAAGCAGTGAAGCACCGCTGATGTGATATGAATCAACAACCGCACTCAATGTTCTTACTGCTTTCAATAAACGGGTTAAAGCTTGTGTGTGTGTGTGTGTGTGTGTGTATGTGATGTGCTTTACAGTCGGTGTGAATATGTGTGTTGTCTGCTTTCATCTCTTTCCTCCACTGCCCTCTGGCACATGCTATACTTAACATTCTCCAAATTCTGTTTTTGGGGCGACATTGTTAGTCTGGTTTATTCAGCCACTGCTTCTCCAGGCAGGTCATTTCTTGTGCTTATTAGTTAAAGATAACAGACTTGAGTTATTATATGATTTTTGCTGACTTATCTCAGGGCTTCAAAGCTATAATCCTAAGATTTCCGTCCTGGTTGATCTGGTGACATCTGTGGTTACTGTGGCAACAGCAAGTGTGATTTAATATTATTTAAACTGACCCACTGTCAAAAAATGCCCAAATTTTTTTGATGAATGATCACTGTCAGTGCCATCCTTACTGACAAATACATTACGTAAACAGTGAGGCTGATAGCCGAGAGATCAAATTGTAGACAGTAACACTGGATTACATGCTGCATCATTTCCTTGTAAATCCCTGCATGGCAGACTCTGCTACTACAAAGAGAGGTAGTTACAGAATGTAAATACATTGAACAGCTATTGCATAATGCAGATCTTAAATAGTATTAAAAAGGGGGTCTGATTATCATCTGCTGTTTTCTTTTCCAGACTTTTATTTTAAGACATTTTGCAAAAATAAAAGTCTTCTCTTTATTTTATATCAATGTCTTTCATCTTCTTTCTACCTACGAATAAAACATTGTAAACATGAATCATCCAATTATCAAATTATGTGATGTACACACACACACACACACATACATACACGCAAATATGCCAACACTGTGAACACCTGTTGGCTTGACTGAAAGCAGAACAAAACGAAAATCGCAGGATGGCAGTTTGTGTGTGTGTGTGTGTGTGTGTGTGTGTGTGTGTATACACATGCACACATTTGCATACATGTTGGCATGCACTCCCACATGTGCATGAGCATCACTGTCAGTCTTGAGAAAAGTCAGAGCAGGTCGTGGTTCGTGTGTGTGTGTGTGTGTGTGTGTGTGTGTGTGTGTGTGTGTGTGTGTATGATCTGTCAGAATGATTCATGTCTTACAAGGGAACACCCTGGGGAAATAAGGAACACACACACATACATGGATACATACATGCACAAAGATTAAGAAGTCATTTTAAGCTTTGGACACACTCTCAGATTCAGTGGTTTGAAAAGAGGTAACAGAAAAAAAAACTCTCTTTCCAGACTGTCTACATTTAGGCCAACAAATACACATACTGTGCAGCGGCAACAGCCGCAGATTTGTTTACAGATGAGGACGACACGTTAGGAGCGATAAGGTTGGGCCGAGAGGAGGTGTGAAAGGAGAGAGCGAGCGGGGGATATGGAGAGGTGCTAGAGACTTGAAGTGGTGAGCATGTGCGTAGGCGGAGAGGGACGGATGGGCGACAGGACATTCACTTACGCACATACACGGAGAAGAAGTGAGGATGGGAGGATGAGCAGGAGGTGAAGGAGCCTGTCAGAGGCTGGGAGGGAGCTGGAGGTGGAGAAGGTGGGAATGGAACGAGAGAAAAAGGCTGAGTGATGCTGATGAATCAAGTCTTGAGAAAGGCGGAAGTGGGGAATTTTGGAGGGGGTATTTTCAGCATCATCAATATCTGAATCTATTATGATTACTTTTATTGATTTAAAGTTATGAATCATCCTTTTGAACATCAGAGGATCAGATATGAAACAGGAAGTTGCTCCGATGTTCCGGGACTGTGATGGCCCACAGCTAAAAGTTAATTTATTCTCTGTTTACTATTTTGATCTTAACAATTAATTCTCGACCTCATTATTAAAACTTTTATCACTCAGCAGTGTGTGACATCTAATTTCTGGCTGAGAAAGAAGCGAACAAGGAAAGAGGAGAGCGACTCAGGGAGCGGAGGAGGGAGGCGGCGGTGGGATGGATGGCGGTGGAGAGAAGCGAGTCGAGTATTGAAGTGACAGGTTGTTGTCAGAGCAGCGAGACCCTGGAAGATAGATGAAGACAGGGTCAGCAACTCCCCGCTAATGTCACGACAGATGACTAACTGCGGTTGTTTGTGTGTGTATGTGTGTGCGTGTGTGTGTGTGTGTTTGTGGGAAGACAGGGTCAGCAATTTTTCGTCCAAGGCTCACTAACCCTGAGTGTGTGTATGTGTGTGTGTGTCTGCATTTGGAAGTGTGCGTGTGAGAGTAGCTACAAGGTCGGCAACTTCTGAACTACAAGGTTGACACAGTTTGTGTTTGTGCGTTTGTCTCTATGTTTTGAGTTTTTCTATGTGTCTGGACTTTTGTGTGTTACGTTTCTGTTCCTCTGTTTGCTGTGTGTTGATGTGACCTGAACATTGCCAGTTCAAACTGTTTCCCTTCCTGTTTTTGGTCTGTTTTCACTCACAACATACTGTCTGTGGTCCATCTGAAAAGCCACTTTGCTTCCGCGTCATGGAAACATATTGCTGCTGTATCGCTGCTGCCTGTTCTCAGCTCAGCTTGTATTTACTGACAAAAAACCTACTACAATTTGTGCTAAACAGTGTGTCCACACTGCCCATATGAATGAATGTTCCCCAGTTAAAAGGGTCACTGAAGTCTGAACATTTTGGCCTTGACTGTGCACTTGCATCAAAAGAGCCTGGGGATTTCTCTGCCCTAAACTCGGCACACTTTTCACTGACTGCGTACAAGTCTCTGTTTCTTCTCTTGGACTGAAGGCCAGAGACATGAGCCCCAACTATATTCTTAATACTAACCACAAACCATGCATTAATGAACTATTTGGCTTCTTGGGGGCAGAGTAAACAAGAATAAAGAAGCTGTAAGCAGTTGCATATTACTGCCTAGCTAATATTGCTAACTACTCTGGCAGGAGCTAATGCTAATGAGAGCAAGAAGCAGAACTGTGGGCCATGAAACCAAAAGAACGAGCTGAAAGATGCTAAAACGCTCAGTAGAGCTGAGGGGAACTGCAGGTTTGTCACTATAAGCAGCCCCTGTCACATTAAACATAATCATTTGACTCATTATTCACACAAAAATATGAACAGTGTAGCTTTAACCAATCCACAACCGTCCATAACCTAAACCTTAATCATTTGATCAGTGGAGCAGGAAGATCTGCATCCGACCTTACACTCTCACTTTACACGAATAACCCACCAGATTTTGTCATAAGTATGAATACGTGAGACGTGCTGAGCATTTGGATAGACAGCTGAGGAGCTGTGTGTGCAGTGGGAAAGGATTGGGAACTTTCTGCAAGTGTTTATGTATTTTTTCTGCCCTAAAAACTTATCACCACAGGAATTCATAGTGATGTTCTGGCTGTGGGAGCCATGGCTCCACTGAATTATAAAACCAAGCCTTTGCCCCTGCCTAGATTACATCAACCCAGTTCCACTTTCACTCTGGTTATCTGTTATCACAGCTGATTTCAAGAGTGGTTCACTCTATTCACATTTAATGGAAGGAAGGCCCGGCACAAAAGTGGCCTAATGAGACAGATTATAAAGTGCAGTGCTCTGAAAGATTTCCATCTAACTTAAGTTAAATGAAAAACAATCGTAGTTCTAATGTCCATGTCACAAATAGAGCAATATGTGTCTACTTCCTGCTCTGTGGCCCAGCTAAGAAAAGGCTCCTATTGACTGTTCTGCAGTCCAGGCTAAAGACAAGAGGTGATGGATTTCTTTTATCCGGTCCTGCAGCACCTACTTCAGCTTTATTACAGACTTTATTATTTTAACTTTATTGCAGATGCTGGCTACATGTGTAACATCGTTTACAGCGCTTCTTCAGACGTGTTCTTTAGACTTGCTTGTAATGACCTTTCATTATGGCTTTTATTACTTTTTCATTCCACTTGATCTGTTTCTAATCCACCGATAAAGCACTCCGCAGACACATTCTACTGAGTTCTTCTGAAAATGAAGAATGTTGTTACTTTTAGCCACAGGTGCAGGGTTTTGCTGACAGGCCTCTTCAGCCAGGGATGTTTTTCCTCACCTTTAATTGAAGGCACATGAGCTAATATAAAAGCAATAGACGGTGTTTCTTATAATGAATGCAATTAAAATGGAACTGAAATAGCTGATGAGAAAGATCACTTAGTGGTGTGATTGAAATATTGAATAACAACTCTCCTTCTCTCTCTACCTTTTCTCTGTCTCTCTAACTCCAGGATTTGGACGTCACCTCCACACTGAGCCGACCCAGTGGAACCCAGTAGAGTCCAGTGAAGGCCTGGCTGCATCAGTAGAAATGGCTCCAGCAGCCATGTCTGTGCCTCCGTCCTCTCTCACCTCCCTCCACCCTTCCCGCCTCCCCTCATCCCTCCTCTTCTTCCTCCTCTCTTTCCTTCTGCTCCTGTCATGTCCTGGATCTGTCCACGCAAATTCATCGGCGAAAAACTGTTCAGCCACTGGAGACGTCTGTCAGGAAGGTGGGTTGGTCTTGTCTGTGAGCACACTGCGGTTTAATGCATACAGGGAGGGATTAACACGATTACATAGGATAGTACTTAACACTTTCAACAAGTGCAGCTTGGGTTAAGTAGTGTGGTAAGTAGAGGAAAGAGTTAAAAGCCTTATCTGTGTACCAGCCATGTAAGCTACTGATATCACAAAGATTTATGACAACTAAACATAATGATGTTCACCATTGTTACAAAAATACAACATATAGCCTAATCTCAGTGGAAACACCATCTTCCTTCCACTTTCAAACTGGATCATTCACAGTATTTCATTTCCAAAGTGGATTATTCAATAAATTCCATTTACTCATATTAAAGAGACAATAATTAAGCAGGAGATTCATGATCTATGATAATATTTATGTTATAATCTAGGCAGAAGATAAATTGAATCACATGGCTTTACTGCATTAATGCATTTATAATTAGTCAGTGATAGTATCCTGCAGATTTAATAGCCTCCATCCTAAACTTTGTATTCAGGTGGGGGAAACAGAGCACTATAGTTCACCTCATGATCAGCTAAAGACAGTCCCACTAGCTCCGGCCCAGTCCATGTTCTGATACTAGTCACTGTAGTGTCCAGCAGGCTGCTCTATGATTGTCATTTAAACTCAACAAAGGCTGAATCTCTTGGCCAGGACTGTTAAGTAAACAGCTGTTAACACTAACGGTAGCTATGTAGCAATAGCACAACTTACAGATGGCAACTTTATTTCTAAAATAGAATAACCTCCTCGTATGTATTGTAGTATATTTTGCCAGCTCAATCTGTGTGACCTGCCCAGAGGCTCTGACAGCAACAGGAAAGAGATTTATTTGCAAAATTGCCAGGCGCTAATTTAATAGTTAAAGCTAAACAGTGTCAGCAGAATATTCACAAAACACCCACATCAGGAACACCACTGCATAGGAGGGTGACAGTGTTTTATTTCCACGCTAAGCTAAAATTTACCACTTGTGAGTTATCTGCTACTTTAGCCAATTTACTGCCCTGGAACTAGAGTGCACAGATCCATTTCAATAAGTTTTAGTAGAACAAATGCGACCATATGGGAACCCCCCCCCCCCTTATTATAATCCTTAATGAGGTTGTGAGCTTTTCTCAAAATGCCCACACTGACAGCCTATACAAGCTCAGAGAGGGAGAGATTAGTGAGGTTATTACATAACATCGTTGCAACCAAATATTGCTTGTGATCTTTTGCTTCAACACTCTGTCTGTCTTTTGACTTTCAGGAGTGGTACTGCCCGTGTGGAACCCTCAGAACCCCTCTGTGGGCGACAAAGTAGCACGGGCCATTGTTTACTTCGTAGCACTCATCTACATGTTCCTGGGCATGAGCATTATAGCAGACCGATTCATGTCTTCTATAGAGGTGAGCAACACATTAATAACGGCATCTTTGTAAAACAAAACAAAACAAAACACACACTGCCTTTCCTTTCCTTTCCTTTCCTTTCCTTTCCTTTCGGTGCCTCTTCTATTTTCCTTTCTTTTATGTTCCTTTTCTTTTTCTTTTTTCCCTCTCCAGGTCATAACCTCCCAGGAGAAGGAGATCACCATAAAGAAGCCGAATGGTGAGACCACCACGGCCACGGTCAGAATCTGGAACGAGACTGTTTCTAATCTCACTCTAATGGCCTTGGGTTCTAGTGCCCCAGAGATACTGCTGTCTGTTATTGAGGTCTGTACAATATGAGCCGGGTGGTTACACATTAGATTAACCGATACAAAGCGTAATGGGAACGCAGTAATTTGATTTGCTCCCCTCCTATAGGTGTGCGGGCACAATTTCGAGGCTGGCTCTCTGGGTCCCAGCACCATCGTGGGCAGCGCTGCCTTCAACATGTTCGTCATCATCGCCCTGTGTGTGTACGTGGTGCCCGATGGAGAGACGCGTAAAATCAAACACCTTCGGGTGTTTTTCGTCACGGCAGCGTGGAGTATCTTTGCCTACATCTGGCTCTACTTAATTCTGAGTGTCTTCTCGCCTGGAGAGGTGGAGGTGAGGATGGAGAGAAATGAAAGCTGTTAAGGGGGGAGAAGTTTGGGAAAAAGTGGAGGTAAGGTTGTAGGGAAGGAAAGGGAGTAAAGGTAGGACGGAAAAAAAGGTGTTAACCCTGTGTCTTCTCTTCTTTAGGTATGGGAGGCTGTGCTGACCTTCCTCTGCTTCCCCCTCTGCGTGGTCCAGGCCTGGGTGGCTGACCGCCGCCTCCTCATCTACAAGTACGTCCGCAAGCGTTACCGTGCCGACAAGAACCGTGGCATCATCATTGAGACTGAGGGAGGGGCGGACGGAGGGCTAGGCATGGATGGTGGAGGAGGGGGAGGAGCGCTGGGTCCGGGTGGGTTCACCAAGATGGACATGCTGGAGCTGGATGGACAGATGGCGTTGAACTGTCACAGCGGGATGGATGGAGGGATGATGGAAGAGGGAGGACCGAAGGACGAGGAGGACGAGGCCAGGAGGGACATGGCGAGGACGCTGAAGGATCTGAAGCAGAGGCACCCGGACAAAGACATGGAGCAGCTGATTGAGATGGCGAATTATCAGGTTAGAAGGAGTGTGGTGTATGTTTTTTAAAAGAATAGTTAGACATTTAATAACTTCTTTAACAACTTGTTAGCTTTGTGTCCACTTCTGTAGACTTCATTCCATACAGTTCTGTCTTAGAGTTTTGTGTCTGAGCTTTCGGAGACATTTTTACATCTAACAGAATGAAACTGTTGCAACCACAACATCATGCATCACATTTCACATTTCATATGCGCCTCCTGTCAGGGTGACATTGTGTTGGAGATGACGCTGTGACACGTTCAGTTGTGAACAAGATGTTTGAGGTGACACCAGGTGGGACAGTTCTTGAAGGTGACAGCGCAGAGCTGTTATACTGAGAACACTTGGAAATGCTCCAGAGCAACTTCCCAGCAGTTTGACAAATGACTTTGCGTTTCCATGGCTAATCGTTGCATAACCGCCTCAGTAAATTTGATTAAGATTAATCTCGCCATTCCTGTCTTCTATTGCAATAACTATTCTTGAGAAAAATGGACATCCAACTATGCAACACATCAAATATAAACAGCGTAATCTGGCTGACTACCTCAGTAACTCTCCAAATACCTATGCAGAGGAAAATAGTACCCCTCATGTACTGTTATGTGCTGACTAAAACACTAGTCTGCAGAGAGGAAGGTGCCGGTTGACTTGATTGACAACAGCGTAACATGCAACCCCTCTGCCATCCAGGTGGTTTTTTGCCCGGTAAGTTACATGAACATTAGATATACACGCGTGAGAGTTCAATGAACTTGACAAAAAATGTTTAACTCGAGGTCCACATGCTACCTTTCTTCTGAATCAAGGCTTTAGAGACTGTGGGATGCAGCTAAAAACTCGAGTTAAGATTTTTTGGGGAATTTAGATTTGCGATTGTTCATTGATATCTATAAGTGATGAACAACTTATTGCTTTAGTGTAGTTGAGTTATGATTGTCACAGCGATTAACCAAGCCACTCGGTTAATCGGTTCTAATCCCTGGTGAGAAGAAAAGAAAGAAAGAAGCTTCTACTAGATCTCATACGCAAATGCTCACACACCTCTTTGTTGTAATATTTACCATAGCTGCTTAAAATGTGGAAAAAAACATGTTTGTTCGATGAATACCAATCATCAAATTGGCACATTAAGGATTCATCAGTTTTATCCGTTGCACAAATTTTATCCTTTAATGCTGAACCATAGAGGCTACCCAAGTCGCCGCTGCTCTCCCTTTTCTTCTCTCCCCTCTTCCTTCCCTTGCCTCCTCTCCAAGTCATTTCTTGGCCTTTGTTTTTGGTAGTGAAGGAGGGAAGGAAAGGAGTTTGGCAGGCAAAGATGCATTCAAACCTCCCTCCCCTAGCAGCTACTCCCTCAGCCTTGTGCTGTAAATAAGAATGACAGCTGTTTGGGAGATTTAACCCAACTAGGTAAACTGAGGTTCTTGTGCTCGCAATGAATCACTGACTAAATAATTGAATAGTTTCTTCACTCAGTGGTCTGGGGAATTGGCCTGTCATTAAGTTAGACCAATTTGCTCAGCAAAAACAGATCAAGTTTTTCACTAAACTAACAATTACTGACACCTTCCATCCAGAGAGATGCAGAGTTAAATGAGGATTCTGCGGTAAAAGTGCAAGCGTGTTTCCTTTAAATTTGAATAAATCGCAGCGTTCCCAGCTCTGACGCCACATTTAATCTAATAATCTCCACGGCTAGAGTGGCCAATTTGTTCATTTTCAATTTGGTGGATGGTGAGGATAATAAATTGCTAGTCACACATACATTTTTATTGAAAGTCATTTCAAAGTATAGATTGATAAGGCTCATTAGATCTAAAGTTTGAAGCAAAGAGAGCCAACTACAGTCTGGCGCATTACAAAGACCTTCATCTTCTTTGTCAGTGTGATTCCACATATGTATGTTGTCTGTCTTGGCAATATATGAAAAAACACAAATTATCTGAAGCTCAAACACATCCCTCATCCTCAAGTGTAGGATCTGTGTTAAAACATCAAGCATCCACCCTTCTGAAGTGTCTTCAATTAACTCTGTAGGTGACCTTTGACCTCTAACCAACCTGTGGAGGTGTGAGAGGAATTTCCCACAGGAGATTCACTGCTTAGTCTTAAAACTGCAGCTGACAGTTTCAAAATGAAAGCTTTTATGTAAAAGTAGCATGAATCTTGGAAGCAAATGAAGAAATTACCATGATAGATACAATAGATCTCTTTGTTAATTGATTGGTTCTGTTGATCAGGTCCTGATGCAGCAGCAGAAGAGCAGAGCGTTCTACCGTATCCAAGCAACCAGGATGATGATTGGAGCTGGCAACATCCTCAAGAAGCACGCCGCCGACCAGGCTCGCAAGGTGGGACACACACACAGTATTCCTCCATTCTCTGTTAACCTGAAATTCACAACAGGAGAACACATTGCATCTGATACTGTGTGTTTTCTTTCCAGGTGGTGAGCAGCCATGAGACCCAGGCCCAGGAGGACGACCCTCACACCACCAGGATGGAGTTTGAACCCTGTTTGTATCAGTGCTTCGAGAACTGTGGCTCCCTGAAACTGACCGTTGCCAGACATGGAGGAGACCCTGGAGTTACTGTCAAGGTGCGTGTGGAGTGAATACAAGACAGAAGATTGCTCAGAAAACAGGAATTAAAGTGTTCAGACAATATGAAAGTGTGAAGGTGATGGAGGGAAGAGACACCAGAGGAAACAAAACTCTTCTCTGGACTGTGTTCACTCATAGCGTTGGCACATTTCCTAGTTTTGGTCTGGTCTTACTCAAATCATCAACTCTATAGGCTCTGAGCATCCTTGTTCTCTTTTCTGGTTGGATGCTGGTAAAGGGATAGAAGTGTGTGAAGAGAGGGGAATAGGAGAACTGGGAGACACAATAGAGAACACTTTCCACATTTTTTAGATTTCAGCTTTTCTTTGAATTATGACCCAAATAAAATTCTTTTTGCAAGGGCTCATTGATCTAGGGCTTAACGGTAGCCTGATAATCAGAATTAGAGATTTTCTTTGAAGTCTTCCACAGAGACTCTGTGGCAGTGATGTAGTATCTGATCTGATCTACTACAGGGACTTTGCAAGGCCATCCTCTATTCTTCTCCTTGTGTACAAATGAAACTATGACATCAGTGTTGTGTGTAGAGGTACGCTGATGCCAAGGCCTCAGTCAAGGCTGACTTTGTTAAGTCAAGTGGCCTATTTAGCCTACACACACATGCTCTTTAGGAGCAGTGCATTAAAGGTGAATAAATTATGTTCAACAAGCAGGATTTCTCAAAGAGGCTACTTGACTGACAACTTGTTGAAAAGTTCCAAGAATTTAGTCACAATCCCAGACTTTATAATGCACTAAAACAAAGTTAAATGGAATGGCTAACTAAACTACAAACGTAAATGCACATTAATTGAGTCTTTGGCCACTTTTAGGGAGTGAAAACAAGCTGTAAACGCATAATCTTTTACACATGGCTAACTTGTTAGCAAACACTTGCTTATACACATGTCCAGCAGAGCAACATTACTTTTAATTTGGAGTCATTTTTCAGACTATCTGATGAAGGTAAGCGCAATATTCAATATCCTTTTAGCTCTGTTTTACACTTCAATAACCCCTGAGGGAAATATCTAGATTAATCTGGCTGTTAAATGCACTACTATGTTAACTAGCTAGTTGCTAACTGTGTCAGCTGCTGCTAGGCAGGTACTGTACAGTGGGTTTGAAGAGCTACACTCTACACTGTACTTTACATTGTCTGCTGCGACTGTAACGATGCAGTAAGAGTGACCGGAAACAGTAAAGATGTGACCTGGAAAACCAAAACAATGCGCTAAAGGCTAAATTGATGATAAAAACGCTCTTGAAATGCTAAACTGCAGAGTCAAGAGGTAATTCAGAGGTTTGTTACTATTAGCAGCAGCTTTCAAGTTTATGTAGTTGTGTGAGTTTTTAAAATGAAAATATTGATCATAGAAGCTTTAAGTTTGCTAAAAAGAAAAATTTGGCGCAACTGGATTCCTACAATACCATCCATATCATAATAAAACATATTAGAGCAGATGTACTCCACATACTTCTTGCTTATGCTTTATTATAGAAAATAGGTGTCGATATCCACATAACATTAATTACAACACATCATCTTATAATTTTTCTACTTTTATAAGGTGTCATTAAAAGCGACACTCCTCACGGCTAGAATATCTGAAATTTGATCAAGCCACAGTATACAGTAGTCCCAGCAATATCAGCTATCTTAATGGATGCACTCAAAAATAAGTTTAGAGCTGTGTCACTTATACACATTTCATGAAGGACTAAAAATAGAGCAGAGCCATGAGGTTGACTACAATAGCACCACCAACAGTGAGTCACTGAATGTCTTTGCCTACGGACAGCCACAGATGATTTTGAACTAATTTGAAATTTTCCAATTTTACATAAAAGGTGACAGAATCTGATCACTGTTATCTGACCATAAGTAACTTAGTCTTTGTTTAGGGTGGAGGGGGTTAATGAAATGGCAGATGGTGAGAGGACAGACAGAAAGGAGAGGATACAGGGAAAGTTTTGTTGTACTATCTTCAAAGTCTTTATTATCAGACTGTATCTAACCAGAGGGCTCAGTTTAATGAAGTTGTTTTTCATGTTCTCTCTCCCCCTCTGTTCCCATCTCCCCAAATGCCTCTCCTCTATATCTTTGCTGTCCTCTTCTCTCTTTCTCTCCTTCTATTCTCTGCGTTCTTCTTCTCCCTTTGTGTTTATTTGCCCTTTTCACATCTGTTCACTTTTTTTATTTCCATCTCTAGACGCCCCCCCCCCCACCCCGCCGCTCTCTCTCTCTCGCCTACGTCTGCACCCCACTTCCCATCTCTCTGTGTTCCTATCTCCCCCCAGGTGGATTATCGCACAGAGGACGGTACAGCAAACGCAGGTTCAGATTATGAGTTTGCTGAGGGAACACTGCTGTTTAAGCCCGGGGAGACCCTGAAAGGTAAAAACAACAGTGACAGCAACAATTCATGATATATTTTCAAAAAACATGTCACTGAGACTAAGGCTCAAATAGCAGAGGTCATCTGCGGAACCTGAGGCAGATTTTTTCTCTCTGCTGGCTTCAACAAAAAGGATTATTGTTGAAATTATTTTTCAATGGCGCCATTATCTATCTGTACTAAAATCAACATCCTACAATAACAATTCTTTTACCAGAGATCACAGTTGGAGTGATTGATGACGACATCTTCGAGGAGGATGAGTATTTCTACGTCCACCTCAGTAACCCTCGAGTGGTTGGTTATCCAGAGATTGGCACCGTCCCTCTGGATGCTAGTGCCACCCCTAAAGCTGTTCTGGGTGACAACCACACAGCCACAGTGACCATCTACGATGACGATCACGCAGGTAAGAGGAACCCATGGATAATCTGAAAGTAATTGCTTTTCCTGTAAATAATAACAGGGAGTGACTACAGAGAGACACAGAGAAACTAAAATCACAGATGGAACAAAGCAGCAATTTCAGTTTGGATTTTTTCTTTTGTTCAATTCGGAACATACTTTGCTGCAGCAGGTAATCCCATGATATCCACTAAAAGGTATCACAGGATGGTTTCAAAAGTTCCATTCCCCTTTTTCATTTACAGGACTTTGATAATACCCAAAGAGAATAAAAGTCCGGGAGGATGAGCGGAGGGTGGGCATTTACCTAATGCTTATTATCTTTTATCTAGAGAGAGTGGGTGGTAATCTATTATCCTCTCACTATATATACTCCTTGGAGAGCAGGTTAGTGAGTGAGAGCGTAGGTGTTCATCAACCACATCTTTCAAGTCTTTCTAGTGCTTCTCCCTTGTGACGTAATGTATTCTCCTTCTCTATTTTGTCTTCTCTTTCTTTCTTTCTTTCTTTCTTTCTTTCTTTCTTTCTTTCTTTCTTTCTTTCTTTCTTTCTTTCTCAGGTATCTTTACCTTTGAGAGTGCCAGTCAGAGGGTGAGTGAGAGCGTGGGTGTGATGGAGGTGAAGGTGCTCAGGACTTCAGGAGCCCGAGGCCTGGTAGCCGTCCCTTATCGAACCCTGGATGGCACCGCCAAAGGAGGGGAGGACTACGAACTGGCTTCTGGCAAGCTTGAGTTTCAGAACGACGAGACTATGTGAGTCAATGTTGTCAGTACCTGATATATCCCCCACAAGTATTATAAGTAATGTTATTTCTTTCCATTTCCAATACATAGACTGAATACTTGCTGATATCACAGACAAGTCATTTGCACGATTTCTCAGGTTGTTCTATAACTGAGTAGTCAGAGGTCTCGACTATGAATAAGTTCCAGTACAGGCTGCTCACTTCCTGGCAAAGTTGACCAACGGGCAGCTTCTCAGAAAATCCTGTCATATTCCTTCAGTTTGTCAAAAATATGTTTCTTGTATAAGCAAAATGTGACATATTTTTAGATTGGCAGCAACACATTCCTGCCTCTGTTTCCTTTCTGTGTGATTGACTCCCGCTCAAGAATTGCTGTGAAGGTTAACTGGGTGTTTAAAATGCATTTGCAGTATAAATAGCTCTATTAGGTAGATAACAGTGTAATAATGCCTCTCTTTAAGGTAGGCTACTCTGCATTGAAATGCCTGCACATGCATGTGCATGCACATACACACTTGCAAAATTGCTCTCGCTTCCTTAGGCGCATGCATTTTTAATATGCTGATGTTAGCGGTGTTAAATTGACCAATACATAAAGCGGTTGGGAATGCAGTCTTACTCCTGGGGGCCTATAAACCAAGTGCTCAGTGTTTGTGTGTGTGTGGGAGTGTATTTGGTCTTGTATATCTATCTGTATGGGGACCAATTTGAGTTTCAGATGGTAAGAGTGAGGATGTTTCGCTCAGTTCTGGCCTCCTCAAAGTGCAGTTGGAATGACAAGGTTAAAAGCAGGGTTAGGCTTAGGACATTTAAACAGTGATACGTTTTTAGTGTTATGACATGGGTGTAGTCAGCATGTTTATGTCAGTGAGTATCCTCCCAAGTATAATAATACAGATGTGTGTGCTTGTGTGTGTCTAGGGGCAGAAAATGTTGGCAAAGCCATTCAAAAGCTGTCCATCTGTGGCTTACCCTCAGAGAAAAACCAGGAAGATGGAGTGTGTGTCTACCTGTGTGTTTGTGTGTGTGAGAGTGTGTGCTCTCATACTTCTATATTCATTTTATATCTTGTGTGTGAGGGCACTTTTGTCTTCAAAGGACTGTTTGAGGGTTAAGGTTAAGGGCTGGGGTTAGGTATGAACTGGTCTCTGGTTATGATGGTCTATGGTTAGAGTCTAGGGAATGCATTATGTCAGCGAGGGTCCTCACAGATGCAGGAGTAGGACTGTGTGTTTGTGCCAGACAAAAATTCAGTTAATGGCTTCATGGTCATCTGATACCAGCCAGCCTCTAGGTAGGAGTGTCACTACAAGGGCAGTGTGTTTTTGCATGTGTGTGTGTGTGTGTGTGCGTGCGTGTGTGTGTGTGTGTGTGTGTGTGTGTGTGTGTGAAATGATGTACTATCAATGATGCAATCACTGCTCCTAGTGAACAGCGAGTTCAGGAGGGGATGAGAGAGGAGTTGGGGGGGGGGGGGGGGGGAGAGAGATAAGATAGAGATATACTGTAGGATCAAGGATGCCCTCTGGTAGCTCAGTAATAGTCCGTTGCTTCTGTGTCAGAACAGGAAACTAAAGAGAGGGCTGATGTGAATGGAGTCGAGATTGTAGCAGATTAGATTATGTGCAACTGAAACCACTGTTGTGTTTGCTACAAGAGGATTACACAGATATTTTACGCCAAAAAGGATGTAACTTTGTGGGTTAAGAGTAAACATATAACACAATATAAAACAAATAAGCATCTTCTTCTGCTGGATGTGAATTATTAGCGCATGACCTGTATTTCTGATGCATCTGAGAATCACTGTAGGAATCATACACAAACTTTAAAAAAGTCTTACCTTTTGATTAGGGCACTACACCCACTTTCAGCAAGCAGCACCCAGAGCTAAAAAAGTATGTGCACTAAGTTAAGTAGTTTTTCTAGTAGCTACACAATAGATTCAACACATTTAAAAGACTAACAGACAATTGTAGATCATTTGATGCAAGTTTCTATAGCACAGGTTAAGGCTGAAAACACATTTTGTGAAAACTTTTTTTTTAACTACAGTTAAGGCATTGCTCTCTGTTGGTCTGTCGGCTGGTCCGCCATTTTGGTCTGGACTGAAATATTGTAAGATTATAAATACCTGCAAAACAACCGGTAATTTCATCAGCCTCAGCTATACTGAGAGTAATGCTGATTAGCAAATGTTAGCATGCCGACATGCTATGCTAACGTGGTGAACATGGTAAACATTTTACCTGCTACATATATTACTGCTACCCCTAGCCTTAGAGTTGCTAGCATGGCTGTAGACTCTTAGTCTTGTTGAATACTTTAGTGTAGTAGCTATTTAGCCATTATCCCTATTTATTTTGACATAAAAAGGTTGTTGAATGTGACTTTGCCTCGGCTGCAGTATAATGTCTGAGATCTCAGGGTCACGGTTCAGCTGCATTAATGTGTCCTGCTCAAAATTAGAAATAACTTGCACAAACAGGACCAAAAAAGTATTAGAATACATGAGAGGCGTTCTCAGGGTCTTCTACTACACTCCACCACTACCATAATAACTCTGCTCCACTGTCCTCATCCTGCTGGCTCTTGTCTTTCTGAAAAAAACCCAAAGACAGTGAGATGAGGGGGAATAGAGGAAACGGATGGTTGGTAGGAAAGGCACGAGGGGCTTTGGACATGGTGCGCTGGAAAAAGCTGGATGAGCGGACTGAAACTGGGGGAGAGGAGGGGACAGATCGATAATCAGATGTTTCCATGTAAAGGAGTGTGAGGATATGGAGAGAGGGATGTGACGGAGAGGAAACCCCACTGACATATTGATCCGTTTCTCCCGTTCTTTCCCTCCACAGTCCACTCTGTTTATCCTTTTGTCCTCACTCTCTCGTGTATTCTCTCTCCTCAACCGTCAATGCTCATCTGCGCTTCTACCATGTTTTCTTTCTAGATACCTACCTTCTTTCTTTTTTTTCTTACTCTCTTATCCTCTCAGTCCATCCATCCACCCATGAGAAGTCCAATCAGTTCTTGACTTTGGGCTTAAGGTGGCTTACTACCTGCCTCATTATCAATATCCCACAAGCCCTTTCCCTCGGTTTATTTATCCCGCTTTTCATTCTCATCTTTCTGTTCTTCCTTCTCTCACTTCCTCAGTCTATTCCTTCACTTGTTCAGTTTGCACAATCTCATAATACCCCCTCCCCTTTATTTTTTTGTCTTTCCACACTGCTACCCCTCTCAGTGTGTTTTTCCTCCCTCTTCTACACTAATGTAAGCCCCTTTTTTTCTGTCCCTTCTGTCTCTGCCTCATTACATTTTTCCATTAGATGACCTTGAGTTTGCTCTTTCTTTCTTTCTTTCTTTCTTTCTTTCTTTCTTTCTTTCTTTCTTTCTTTCTTTCTTTCTTCAGCTCTGTCATGTCCCCCCTCCTCTTCCTCCCATCCCCCATATTTCTGTTGGTATATTTTTAGAATTTCTTCCACGCAGGATGCGTTCTGTCATCCCTCTCCTCTCCTCCTCCCTTGCCCCCCCCCCCACTCCTTCACTCCTTCACCTTCTCCTCTACCCTCACATCCCTGTCATCTCATGTCTCTCCCCCCTCCCTTATCCCTTGCTCCTGCACACCATCGACTTCCTCCCTTTCCGTCTTTCACCTTTACTTATTTACACCATCAGACTTTTCCTCCCCTTTCTCCTCCCTTTTTGCCTTCTTCCCCCTGTACATGACACCTTTTCTTTCTCCTCCATCTTCTTTTTCTCACCTCCTCTACCTTCTCTACACCTCTTCCTGCTGCCATATTTCCTCCCTCTCCTCATCTTCTCCATCCATCCATCTCTGTCGAACTCTTTACTCAGAGAAAAGGGACTTACTGCCAAAGCAATTGAGCTGGATCACAACCCAGACATAACTCAGTGTCCACACACTCCCTCTATTCTCTCTTGTCCCCCCTACAGTATTTCTTCCTTCACTCATTCGTAATAGTTTTGTTTACCGTTTTTGTCTATATAGATGCACTGAAGCAGCCCACTAATAATCTGTCCCTTCTCTTGTTTATTTTGTTGGAATTAACTTTCCTAAAAGTTAGAGAAAACAGTAAACGAAAATGTCCGACCAATCTTGGGGAATATCTGAAAGGCACCGAGGCCGAACTGACAAGAGCAGAGGAGATGAAAAGGTAGTGGAGAAGGAAAATAAACATCGAAGCTCAATTCTCAATATTTTATGCCGCCATTCGTCAGAGGTCAGAGGTCAGGTATCAGCTGAGCGCTCCCTGGGGCCGATTACTTCTACTTCAGCAAGGTGGATGCTTGCTGAAATGTGCATGTAATGGGGCACTCCACCATAATTAGACCTAAAGTGGTTCTGAAGAAGCTCTGTCAAGTCTGAGAATATAACCCTGATGATGTCATAGTGACGTCATCAGCGTCATTTCAGCTCAGACTTGGAGACTGCTGATGCATAACTGGAAGTCTGCGTTATAGGCTTGCAGGACTTTGAAAGACCCGGGTCCTGTTCCTTAAGCTTAGGAGGAGTTTCCACTGAACACCATACTGAAGACTCTCTGAGACGTGATCGTAGATTAATGAGCGCCTCCCATCGGGTCGTAGGAGGCTCCAGAAACTGCAGAAAGAACCAAAAACTATATTTCCTGAGATCTTTTTTTTTTTTTTTACCCAAACTTTTATCATGGAAACTGATATTCCTTGTTGCCTTTGATATAAAATGAGTGATGAGACTTTAATTAGAAAATAAGAAAATGAAATTACACACTCACACATTTTTGTCATTGATGTCCTACTCTCCTTCCTCGTTTTCCCAGTGGCATTTTTTAGCTTCCATATGTTCCCATTTCTTTGTATTTGTGGTGCGTACAATATGTTGTTCGCCACATGCTTACACAGTATCCACTACACTTACTATAGGGACTGACGCTGCCTCGTTTTAGGATCAGTGTGAATTTGAGAGAATGATATCTGCCTTGAGCAGCAGCTAAATCAAAGTTA